ATTTTTTACTAATCGGATCCTTTATCCCTCACAGGCGGCCTCATATATGGGGCTCATATTTGGTGGAGGTACTTAACCGGGTACAAGGTATCCCCCTGTATATCAATCTGCCGCGCTTCAATAAATCCCGAAATCCCCGCTTGGGCTCCCCTATTATTATTAGTAGTAAATAATGTATAAATTGTTATGAGTTGTATTGAAACGAGGCATGTTTTCAATTACTGCTGGGAAAAGCTTTTTCAACTCTTATAGCTACTACTGAAACGAGGTATTTTTTCAATTACTGCTGTGAAAAGCTTTTTCAACTCTTTTAGCTACTACTGAACAATTTCTTTTTGATTTATCGCCGCGTCGTCCAAAACTTACTTGATCAAAGTGTGTGTTTCAAAATCTATATAAAAAACCTGAAAGCTCTGTATTTTAACAACACATCTGGTGTGTTACATTTTTGAAAAATAATTATTATTCTGTATTGAAATGTACAGGAATATACTTGGGGTCCCATTGAAAAGATAGTTTTCCATCAATAACTATTGAATTCTACATAAGAAAATGCTTTCATAGCAAAAAAATGTTTGAAAGGAAAAAAGTTACAGCAACTTTTCGAACATGCACATTTTCAAAAAATGTGCTGTATGTTTGTCATTAAATTTGAATTTCTGTCACATCAGTTTTCATATATCTAGTTTGAAAACTGGAGTTTCCCTTTAAAAGTGTCCAATGTGACCCACTCTGTTGTTCTCCACTTTATTTGTGTTATCCACTTGACTGTCATTGCAAATTACCATGAAAACTGAAAAACAAGGGATTTTCAAGTACAACACACCCTTGGCTATTACGACATCCACTTGAAGAGAATACAACACAAGGAATATATAAAGTATCTCATTATAAAAGAAATTCGCCACCAAAGAAATGTATTACGTTTTCTCTTTCTTGTGTCTATCTGCAGGGTGGAATGACTACAGAATGTAAGAGTTTTTGAAGTCTGCTGATTTCCCGAGAGAAAAAGACACATTTTTGATACCGTCAATTTGAGTTTTCATATGGGGAATTGTTTTCCATGACCAAAAATTCTAATGAAGGCAAGTTTGAAATAAAAAATTTTCAAATTGGATGATTTTGCACTTGTTTATCACAAACATTGGGTCTTACTGAACCATAAAGTATCTGCAAATAGCCACATCTGTTACTACAAATGTTTAGATAGCACCCTACCAGAGGCGTGCCAAAAAGTGTGTAAAGGGCGTACGGATGATATGTGTGATATGGTTATTTGCATTGAATGTTGGTAGTAGACACTCTAGAGTGTACACTACTTCTGTTTGCTCTCTGAAAAATCGTGAAATTACTACTAATTCAAACTCTTATTTACAAGTGAACAGTGCTGTGTAAAAACTAGATAGTGCTTTATTGTTCAGTCTCCAAAAAACCACACATAAACTTGTGATTGGAATTATTAACCTTTGGTAAGAAGCAACACCTCATCTCAGTACTACCTTCGGATAGCACGGCACGAAACTTCAGTGCGACGGCTGCAAGCTAATAATTCACGTCGCTTGTACGGACCTGTCGCAAGACGATCGTATCACTCGTCGTCGAATTAAATGTTTGAAGGCTCTATGTAACTCCTGCAGTGCAAATCTTGAGTCTTCCCTCGAAATCAAAGGTCTGATAGAGTCATTTAAAAACGATATGCGTAGAAAGCTTGGAGATGTTAAGTTGAAAATCGAGAATAACCTCGAGAATAACAGAATAACCTCTAACAACAACCAACAACTGCCGTATCTTTGCTGGAAAATTCTTTACACTAACTTAGACTCATTATCTGCTGAATTGAACAAACTCATATGTGACATAGTTGATCTCAAACCTAACATAATACTCCTAACCGAAACATGGCTTAAACCAACCGACCCAGATTCATTGATTAACATAAGAGGCTACAGCATTTACAGAACGGACAGATTAAAACGTGTCGGTGGTGGAGTACCTATGTTGATATTTATGCAATGAGATCATAATAGATTTTGCAGTTCAACAAGATATTGCCGTGATCCAAGGCGTGGAGGCCTTACATGTCAGCCTTACCAGCATAAATATTGTATGTATCTACAGACCTAATGATGTGTCCCATGAAGTCAATGTCCAAATGATCAATTTCTTAAATCAACTATCGACCCTTGACAACTTCATCATTGCTGGTGACTTTAACTACCACAATATCACTTGGCCCATTAATAGTATACCTGACACAAATAGCGCCACGAGTAATTTCATGCATTTCGTTGCCGATTCAAACCTTTTTCAACTCATCACTGAACCAACTAGATTCCGAATCAACAAGAAGCCATCATCACAGATCATGAAATCCTACCACCTATTGAATTATCGGACCATGCAGTAATCTGAGCAACTGTTCAGCTCAACATTAATATGTCAAACAAGTACGAAACCGAAGTTTTCAAAATAATCGATTTTGATCAGTTATCCGAGGAACTTTCTACCATCGATTGGACACAACTGTTTAACGCATGTGATGACGTAGATATCCTCTGGGAAAAATTCTACCCGAACGTTACTGCCTCTGCTGACAAGAACTCCCGCAACAAAATACGCCGGAAAAATCCTCTCAAACCATGGATCAATGCCGAAATAATGTCACTCATACATCGCAAAAAAAGACTCTGGAAAAGATACAAAAGATCAAAAGCCACAGAAGATTACCAAGCTCATCGAAATTTCCCAAAACACTTGGTATCATCAATACGATCTTCACGTCGTGAGTTCGAAGAATCTATGGCAGACTCTGAAAACAATAAAAAACTGTACAAGCTCATACGATCTAACCTGAACACCAAAGTAAGCATTCCGCTCCTACGAAAACCTGACGGTTCCTTGTGTTCTACAGATATCGAATCAGCAGAGATTTTGGCCGATTCTTTCACAAGCTCCTTCACGGTCGAGCCTCGAGATGACCACTTACCAAAAATTATATCAGAACGACTACGTGATAATCTGACTAATGTGTCGTTTACTTCGGAAAAAATTTAAAATCATTTATTGAACATTAAATCGAGTTCATCTCCTGGTTTGGATGAAATGAACCCCTTTTTTCTCAAAAACTTTTCCGAAACTCTCTGCTCTCCGTTGTCAACAATTATATCACTCTCTATCACAAAATCTCGCATCCCACGGGCTTGGAAGAAGGCAACGTCACCACTTTTTTCAAAAAAGGCGATAAACTCAATTCAATCAACTACAGGCCCATTAGTCTTTTATCTGTACCTTCCAAAGTAATGGAATCCATCATCGTAGAAGATATGTCAGAATTTTTAACAAAAAACGCAATCATACCATCAGAACAACATGGTTTCGTCAAAGGTAGATCAACCACCAGCAATCTACTATAGTGCATGAAAGATTGGACGACAGTTTACGATAGGAAAATACCGACAGACATCGTTTATCTTGACTTTGCCAATGCTTTCGACAGGGTCCCAGTGAGAAGGCTAATGCAAAAACTTGACACACACGGTATTCGAGGCCAACTAAACCTATGGATTGAGAATTACAAGACAGATAGAACTTTCACGGTCAAAGTGGGTCACTCTTTTTCTTCGCACAGACAAGTCACAAGTGGAGTTCCCCAGGGATCTTGGCTGCTTCTTCTTGGTTCTTGGCCTGCTTCTCTTCCTTGTTTATGCAAGTGATCTTGTTCTTCACATAAAGTCCAGCAAATCGTTTTATACCGATGATACTAAACTGTATGGAAATGCCTTAGTCGAACATCATTCCCTTCAAGAAGACCTCAACTCGATTAGTCAGTGGTGCGAGGATTGGCTTCTACCTCTTAACGTCGACAAATGCGTCGTACTTCATGAAGGAAAGAACAATCCACTCCATACGTAAACAATAAGCGGCCAATCGTTACGTACAGTGTATGCAGGTCCAGTGTGGTGTCCTGTTCTGGTGCGCGATAGGGACTTGTTGGAAAATGTACAGCGTCGAGCCACACGTATGACTTTTGAAGAAGTGCGTCCAACCTATCCCGAAAGACTGAGGATGGCACATCTGCTAGCTTTTGACCAACGTCGACTCCGTGGGGACCTCATTATATCTTTCCGTATAGCTAAGTATAACTATTCTAATCAAAAAGAACTTTTTGTTTTCAACAATGATTCGCGGTTACGTGGTCACACACTCAAATTAAAAAAAGGAAAAATTCTCAGCGAGGCAGAGATAATATTTTTTGGTGAATCGTATTTTCGAAACATGGAATAACCCAACGATGTTATGAATTCCGACTCAGTGAACAGTTTCAAAAACAAAATAGACATTTGCTTATTTGCCTAATCGGTTCTATGCATATATTAATTATTTTTCTTTTCTTTTTGCATGCATTGTATTAACTTGTTGATATCCTTCGTTTTTAGGCTTACATAGGACTTTGTCCTCAGCCTTCATTTAAATGTAATAATAATAATAACAATAATAAACTATTCTAATGAGTTCCTTGATCAACTGTGCTCAATCACACCTGATTAAAAATATCAAAAAACGTGCAAAGTAATACAATTATATTAATGTTCAGTCTGAACTTCTCATCTGAAAGATAATCCCATTCGTATTTTAAAATAACACCGTACCCAACATGATAGATTGATGATGTCTGTAGATTTTGATTAGTTAGAAATTATATCCAGAATTTTGTGTTTTGTTTTCAAGGTACTCAATAATAATTTGAAAGGGTATATTTTCATGAGAGATCAATTATTGGGAAAGAAAGGTTTTTGGCTTTCAACTTTTCCGTCTTGAACCAAAAAATCTTTCAAAGAAAGGAAGGAAGCAATCAGTTTCAAAATAATCTCTATAAATTACTAGAATAATCCTCTCCTCCTAATTCTTCATCTCAGAAGAATATTTGACGAGAAACTATGTTTTTTTCTCGAATCTGTATGAGAAATAGCAGTTTTTTTTTAATAATGCAAAATTTCACAAAAAATATTTATTTTTCGCAATAGAATGCATTGCAGGGTAGTTTTATAGCATTTCAAATGAGGTATTGCTTGAACGCTGACCCTATTTTGAAATCAATGCTATGCGAGTGGAATGAAAATAATTTTTAAATGAAAATCATCAAATTCTCTTGCTAGGTGCCAACTATGAAGTAGCGTACCCTGAATCCATGATGGTACTCTTGTCAGTTAAAAAACATGCATTCGGCTCTTTCTTTCATCTATGATGTCCTTATCAAAACTATGAAAAATAAATTTCTCACTCAATGAACAAATGAAAATAGCTTACTTGAGGATAATCTCCATCTTTCGTTTGATAATCGAATACGTAGAAAAAAGTCTTGGGGCCAGTCGCTTCCTGACCGGGCTGTGGAGGCTTAGCACTCAACAAATCCCCAGTTTGCACCAACGGAGCTACGAACTGCGCGTCGCTAAGCGCAGCAATGGCAGAGTCCCGCGTATTCACAGGGTGTTGCACCGTCCTCTCCCAATCCGTATATTCATTCACTACCGTGAAAAATATTTCACTCAAATGATAAGTGTAAGCGTTCCGCACGTAAGTCCTAATTATTTTGTCTCTGCGTTCCCCCTCGAACCCGGCAGACACATCGGTGTTCGAAAACCTCCACAGCGCCTCACTAGTCACTACGCCGAAAAGCAAGTCGTAGGGATTGTTGCCCTTCGGGGTCAGAGTGGTCTCACTTCTCTTCATGTTGGCGTTGACCGGTCCTACGAAGTTCTGCAGGTCTTGTGGTTTGAAGTACGTTACCAGTTCTTTGGCAAAGTCCGTTTTGATGACGACTCCGTCTACGCTGGGACCGAATGCGCTGAGGTACGCTGGGGCTATGACGTCGGCTTGGAGGAGTTCTTCCAGAGGTGTGTCGCGAAGGCAGTCCACAATGGCTTCATGGTCTTTTCCGACGTCTTCTGGAATGGAGCAATTGACTTCTTTGGCTAGTTTGACGGCATAGTTGACCGGATCTTCAACCTGTAATTTTAGATATTTTCATTTATGATAACAATTATTTGTACGTCAAATCATCAATCTCATAGAAGGCTGGTATCTCAATCGCCACAAAAGAAATAACCAGGAAAGGAATTTCTGGCAAAAACATAATCTGCACTGATAGCAGACAAGCTCTATTAGCCCTGGGTATATTCATAGATATCGAGGAAGCGTTTGATAAAACAACCTTTCCAACAATTACCCAGCAACTAAACTCCAGGAATGTACCCTTGGTAGTAGGAGAATGGATACTCCAGATGCTCTCTAGTAGAGCATTGAGTATTAATGTGGAAGACATCACAGTGAAAGGACTGGTCATGAGGGGATGTCCACAGGGAGGGATCTTATCACTTCTTCTCCGGAACATAGTTCTGGATACACTAATTAATCACCTTAACAAAAATGGATTCTACACATTGCATACGCAGATGACATAGTTATCTCGCAGACCGGCAAATTTGTAAACACATTGTGCGATAGAGCGCAGGATGGGCTCAAATTAATAGAAACATGGTGTAAGGAACATTCACTGTCGATCAATCCCAAGAAAACTGAGATGCTCCTTTTCACCAGGAAAAGAAGTTTAACGGGCTTAAAACCTCCCGAAATCTGCAAAAGCAAACCAAACTCCTCTGGAGAGGTGGAATACCTTGGTACTATCCTCGACAAGAAGCTAACATGGAACTCTCATCTACAGAGTAGAGCAAAAAGAGCATACGAGGCTTATGGGCAATGTCGGAGGACAGTGGGGCGCGCATGGGGTCTTTCACTCCGTGTGGTCACTGGATCTACACTGCAATAATAAGACCTATGTTAACGTATGGAGCTATTGCATGAGGACTTAGCAGTAGGATTTCTCACTGGTCATTGTCATCTAAGGAAACACCTCCACAATATGGGGCTGGTGTACACACCTCTATGCAGGATGTGTGAACAGGAAGATGGCGTATTCTATGCGAATGTCCGGAGTTATCGTCAATAAGAGAGTGTGTGTTCGGCGAGTTTTAGCCTACACCTGCCGATATAAACGAAAGGACAGAATTGACGATGACATAGGAGGACAACTCCTTGGAAGGATGTACACATGTGGCCTAAGTGCTGTGGGCCTACACTCACCCTCTCTACTCTACAGATACAGAATCTCATAGGAGTTGGGTTCTATGAAGTATTAGTGAAATTTTGTAGATGAATGAAGTTTTTATGAATATAGATGCATGAGTGAGAAAGTGGAAAATGAAATGCTACTCAGCATTTTCAACAGGAATGGAAAGAGTAGTATCGTCAGCAAATGAAATTGCTCCTCGACAAATTTTCAATACATCATATTATCTATTCATATTGTTTTTGCAATTTGATGTTTCATGACCATTGAACTGGGGGTTTTTATGTAATTTGCTACATTCTCTACAATGTTATCTAGTCGAATGAATCTGATCTCATCTTAACGAAGCACACACATAATCAGCATAGTATATGGAATGTAATAGAAGCCCTATTAGATAAGCCTGACTCCATTATATTAATTTCGATATTGTAAATCAATAGATGATTGAGTATCAAGTGCTGACTTCACGAATTTCTTGATTCCGCCAAATTCTATTCCAATCCGGAGTTATTATCAGGTGGAAAATGCAAAATCAATTGAAAAAGAAACACATGCACTACTTTTCCAGAAGAAAAGAAAAATTGATTTCTTTGAATTGATACTGGAGGACTTACCAATGCCCAAGATGAAAGAGCTGATCCCGACAAGAGAATCGTTCTATGGAAGAGACCAGGCATCACCGTTGGTGATATCATAAGAAAATTTATACAAGCAGCTCCAGACCCATGTCCAGCCATGGTGACGTTGTCTGGATCACCGCCGAATAAAGCTATGTTCTGCTGAATCCAATGGAGCGCTGCTATTTGGTCCATGAGCCCGTAGTTTGCGACGCGAGCTTTGAGGTGTGGCGCAGGGTTTGCATTCAGGAAACCTGTGGAATGTACCCAAAATGTCAGCAAAAACTCAATGAAAAAGTGGGATATCACGATGACAATCAGATCATTTATGAAAACTTCAAGTTTTGTGATAGACATTATTTTTTTGGATGAGCTCAACTGTTCTGTTCGCAAGTTATCGTTTTTAATATCAGGAATAAAAATGTTGAAGCGAAATCAAAAGTTTGCCGTTCTTATATTACTTGTTTTTGAGTAGTATATAAATAGAAATTCATAAATACCCCAGAACTGATGCACCTCAGCATCTCCAAAGGAAGTTGCATTCCAAAAAGTACATTATACGCTTTCATTTTCCTGAACAAGGGTTGTCCACATGGCAGAGTGTTACTGAATGAAGCCTGGAAAGTCAACAAGTATGCGAGTCACCTTCTCGACATGGTAGACTATGAAGGAACATTTTTCTTTGAAGCAGCTTCCCAAGCAGCTACTGAACTTTTTATTTTTCGGCACTGAAGGAGTGTGATCACAACTCTATCACCAAGTTGAAACCTGTTCAGCATATGGTGTATATGAAAGCCGCAGAACTCCACTCTAGTGATAATACAAAAATAGGCCAATGCATGGGGTCTTATACAGCAACATTGAATACTTCGGCTTATCATCAAAACAGCTAATTTTTGCTCTCCTCGGGTCGGGTTGCAGTTGAAAACTGAGGGATTCATCATAGCTTTCCACGATGCTGTATTCAACAACTTAGTGTTTTGTAGTAGCGTGATGGATGAGGGGGTTCCTGACGCCCTGCCGCGAGGGGGAACCCTTTCCTGAGGCCTCAGCTGTGCTGAGGTATTTTCGGCCTCTGCCTATATCCATCGACATCATGCGGCCCATTTGTGGCATTTCTACAATATTGATAAGACAGTGATATGCTTCTGGATATATTAAATCCATTATTGGGAATGAGAAGTCCCGAATTTATTGGAAATTTTCATTCTCAACCTAGAGACTGAGGACTTGGAAATTGATTAGCCTGATGTAGCCCTATCTGACTATTTGAGTAGAACGATTATCGTCTAATGTTTTCAGCTTTGGTTGAAATATTGATAGCTTCTCTTCGATTTTCAAAAACTTTATTCAGGCCACTCTGTTGAGATATTTATTTCGATTATTGGATTCCTTGGAGAAGATCATACTGGCTTACCGCATCACGCCTAAATTCTTGACTGGAAAAATGCAGAAGGCTGCCATTCTCGGCTCACTGCGTTTGCTGAGGCTCATGATTGTTGGTCATTAAAACTGTATTCCTTGAAAATCATAGTGAATAAACGTGGAGGTGGAAGTGTTATCTTATAGTTATAGTTATGGATAGGTATCTTTAGGGATGGAATTAAGTTCATCTCTTAATTTTATCAAATTGGCTGGCGAAATGCGTGTCGAGTTCTGGTGCTTGGGGGTCTTTCCAGGACTATCTCTAGCAGAGGTAGAAATTGTTCATTGAGTCGCAATTTTTGTTCTTGTTGGTATAATATTTCCATAATCTATGGGTTAGAACGAAATAAAAAAGCAACATTCCACTACAGTCACATTTTGTCTAGCATTCTGCATAATGTTGCTACTATGATAGCGTTGAGAGCGTAATTATGCTATAATAACTCGCTTTTCTTATGGTGGAAGGTTTCAAAACCTGTTTGGAAAATAGATAAATTGAATTGTGATGACTTCAATCTTTTCTGCCCTAAGTACTAGTAAATATTTGGCAAAATCTTTCATCATTATTCTTCCCAATACCTTGTTGTAATGAATATTTGAATGTCGAGAGAAACATTTTCATTATTGTGAAATTTAAATATTTTTCTTGAAAGTAGACGATCTGAACTTTCTGCTAATGCATTTTCTATAAATGTGTAATAACGTAGCCTTCAGCTAAGTTTTTTTTTCAAATGCGGTACTTACAATATACACAATCCCACTGCTGTCACCAGTGCAACATCCACGGGTTTATAGATGGATCACCAGTGGAATAATATGTCATTAACAGTCTATCAACCCTTGGTTACACTTTCGCTATTAACATATTCGATTCATTGAAATTGAATTTGGCAGCTGCTGTCTTCATATACGGATTTCTTCACATCCAATTTTGAATATTTATGCAATTCCAAAAGAGGCTTGAATTCGGCCAACTTACTTTCAAAATGTTTTCCGCATAACTCCTCTCGCTCAACGAAATTATCGCTCAACTCCGCGACGACCACTCTCAGACGACCCGCTTCCAGAAACCTACCCGGGATCACTCTTCCAAGTCTAGGAAAAAATCCCAAGATTTTTGTCCTGTAGCCCCGCCTCGGTAAGATGGTAGCTAATTATATCGTTCTCATAAAAATGGGCCAACGCGAGACGAAGGTTCAACAGAAAAGTCCTATTTCGCTTAACTTGCAATCTATAGATTTCAAGGTTCAAAGACAGATATGTTTACTCATTGGCGGTTTCAGCTACGTGACGAATATATCTGAGTCTGGCCAAAAACACGTAGATGAATTTCTATAAAAACACTCTCACGCTCTGGCTGAAGATGTTACATTGTATGAGGCACAGAACTGGTGTTTAAAATTCTGAATCAATAGAAATCTATCTATTCCTAGAATTATATTAACATAATAGCTTTTGCTAGATATTACACAAGTAATGAGTTTTTCCAAATGTCGATTTTGGCATTTGTGACAAAAGCTTGGCTTCTCTTGCCACTCTTAATTTTCTACCGCATTAACTCCGCTCACCACTTTTCTGGAGGATTGATTTTTTTTTTGCCAAAATCGTCCTACTTCAAAACTTATTAGGTATACCTGAAGCTCCGCCTTTTGTAGTAAAAGTTTGAAATATTTTTTATAATGTAGTCCTTTTGCAACCATTATTATACCGAACACTCGTTTTCAAATAAACTTTGAGTATGTTAATTGTATTCTCAATTTGATCCTATAACTAGACTTGTACGTAACGGTCCTATGAAATAATTTCACAAGTCTCATGCACAATTGTTAGTTTAGTAATCAAATACGAATGTTAATTTTATTTGTAATTGCACAACTCGCGGTAAACTAATCGTGAGTGAAACACAATGAAAAATATTCCATTTCAATCAGCAACACCGAAAAAAATTTAAAAAAAACACCCTCCATCACTCATAAATAATAAGTTTTCAGTTTGAATCGCACCATCATTCCCATACAGCAACAAAAACCCTCCAATCGTGACTGTGTCCCGAAGGAAAAAATTCGAAAGTTAAATTTGAAGGGATCAGAAACGGTTCCCGAGAGTGCCATCCACTTTTTGGACCTTACTTCATTTAGAGCGGACGACGATATAGGGCCTGCATAAACCACATGATTCGACCCACATTAGGGCATGCTTCGGGCAGCTTCGAGAAAGTTCGGATGGAAAGTTTGTTGGAACATGTATGTCCGTGCACTTCTATCGAGAGATTATATTTCACGACTGAGGGATGAAATACATGAGCCTCTATGCATATCAACTACAGTTACATCGTAAAATACAGGCCATTTGAAGTATATGATATGGAGGAGGAAAATTCAATGAAAACTTTTTCACAGGAAAACAAGATATTGAAATTTAAGAGTCACCATGATTATGATACTTGGAAAGTAGATGAAATATAATAGATAGAGTAAAATATCTTTGGAGGATAGGAAAAGTAACATTATTTTTGTGAAAGGCTGTACCAATTCATGATTTGACGAAAGTGGACCATTCGGCTATATCTAAAAGAAATCTGGGAAAGTGAGAAACAGTCCCTTTTTAATGATAAAAATAAATAATTTTGAATATTGCATATTTTCATTTTACTTTTTTAGATGACTTATTTTAAGTGAAATTGGTGAATGCTTGATGGAAATCCATTAAGTGTTCAATTAACACTCCATTGTCCAAGTTTCTATATAGAAAAAAAACTGATAAACACAGTTTAAAAATCTGTTTTAAAATCTGTTTTTCCGGTAATCAGCTGCCATCCCCATACGAACGACAACTCTCAGAAGTTGAGAAACTTGTGCGAGCTAAGGACTAACGAGGTCTTACCTTTTAACGTGTGATTCCTAACACGGTTCATTGTATGATTTTCACTATAAAAAAGTTTTACAAAAACCGCGACACGTGTTTCGCCATATAATATTCAAATTCAATCCAAATTCAAATTTATTGCAACCATATCCTATTAACAAGAAATAGATCGGATTAGTCCAAGTTCACAAATTAAATTGTGTCTGATCAATATGTACAATTGAAATGACAAGCATAATGGTTAAAAAAAAGATGACATTCTAGAATGTTATGAAACATCGAGTCAAAAACCGAATTTGAATCGGGTATTTCAGTGATGCATACTTCACCGCCTGTAAAAAATCATAAGACCATCACAAAGATAAAGCAAAATATGAAGAAGCATGAGAAGGTCAGTACTGAAAGTCACTAACCACAAAAAAGTTGGAATTCACGGAGGGGCTAAAAGCATCCTTCGGCCAGTACTTTAATTTGCGTTTGAAGGTATCTGTGCGTCTGCTCTCTCTCAATTCGAGGGGCAGAATGTTGAATAGACGAATTCCAGTATTCACTGGAGCTTTTTTTTGCCTAGAGTGACAAATTTTCTTCGGTAAGATATTTCTTTTGCTTCTGGTGTCATACATGTGAATATCGCAATGCCTTCTTAAGCTGTTTATGTTCTTGAAAATATGAGTCAGAAGTTTCAATATATAAATAGAAGGCAACGTGACAATTGTTTTACTTTTGTTGGTGTCTCTGCATGATGTTCTATAAGATAAGTGAAAAATACGTCTAATAATACGTTTTTGCAACACAAAGACTCTTTGTAGTTCGGACAACTAGCGGAGTACCCCAGTGCATAGAAAACTTCAAGAAGACATTCTCGTTCCAGCATGTTTTGGAGTGTGGTGACCACATAAAAGCAATTGTTCAGCTTGCCACAAACTACATCGACATGCGGGTTCGATGATAGGTTGCAGTCGAATTGTGTTCCTAAGAACTTCACCATTATAGATGGCTCAATTGACACTCCTTCAAAGGAGAGCGGTTAATGCAGAGGTGTTCTATGTTTGCTACAAAACTCTATATATTTCGTCTTATATTTTCAAAGCACCAGTCCTTGAACTCTCTCAGGATTGTGTTGACCTTTTCTGATAGTCTTACAGATGAAGTATCTGACTTAGTAATGCAAGTATCATCTGCATACATACGCACCCTTCCTTGAGATATTTGAATGGGAAGGTCGTTAATGAAAATGAGGAAGACTAGAGGTCCAAGTACGCTTTCCTGGGGTGTACCAATATCGGTTTCAAATTTCTCCGAGATGACGTCATCCATCTTAACAATTAACTTTCACGATCCACTCATTGATGGGCCGCGCCCATCAGATATAAAAGTAATATCGACCGAGTCGGAAGCTGTAGTAAGCTCAAAGAAAATTGAGATCACAAATTCGCCAGAGTCCATTTTGTTGTTGATATATTGAACCAATTGTATCGTGCTTGTTTCAGTTGATAAGCCACTACGGAACCCATGCTGGTTGTCACATAAAACCTGATATGTGTTGAGGAAATTTGTGATTCTATTGGCTATTACTTTCTCTATCAGTTTAGAAAAGATGTTTAGTAAAGCGATTGGTCTTATAATTCTCAATATTATTTGGATCGCCTTTTCTAAAATAAGAAATATAGAGGCTAATTTGAGGATAGAGGGAAATTTGCCCTGCAATTCGGACAGATTGATAATATGCTCGATAGCTGGTGCAATTATTTCACTGGTATCTTCAATTACTGAAATCGGAATTTCATCCGGACCTGTAGATTTTTTATTCGGAAATGAGTTTATGACCTCAAGTTCTTCGTCCTGACAAGTGTGACGGGTTCAAAGAACATTGATGCAGAATTGAATTCACGTCTGGTATATTCTGTGGAAAACTGTTGACCAAAGTGTTCATTCAATTTATCAGTTATCACTGTTGATAAATGTCGTCCAAACACCAGGCCAATGTTTTCTGGTTCGGTTAGGACCTCGCTATTGAAATTAATTTCAGATATTTTGTTAGATTTATATTTTTCTACAACTTTGTTGACAATGTGCCAAAGTATTTTCTTTTTTTCATTCGATTCACTAATGATTGCATAATAATGCGATTTTTTTTCTAGACGAATTTACTTATCAATGTTCCTCTTCAGTAATTTATAATTTTTTTTTACCGCTACATCATCTGTCCTCTTGCGTAACCAATCCAACTCCTTCAACCTATCTCTCATTTGGTTTAGTTCATGTGAAAATTGGATTTTTTTGCTTATCATAGAAAAATTATTTTTTTTTGTTGTTTTTTCAGGAAACGAGCAATTGAAATACCAAAGAAATCATTCATGTAGTTATCAAATATGATTTTAACATTGTTGACGTAACTGGTATCGAAATTAATTTTAGCAAGTAAATATCTGAACTCGTTTCTGGAGTTCTGATCAATTTTTCTGTAAGAATATTTTTCTACATTCATTACTGGATTGAAAACCCGGGACAAGCGACAGTTAGCGATTTGTCCGTGGTGATCAGAGAGACCCGGGTCAAGATTAGTGGTTTCAATTAATTCAGGTGTATTCGACTCAACATAATCAATTGCAGAGGAATTTATGTAATTTACTGTTGAAAATAGCTTTCTCAAGCGCTTGAGGAAACTATTGTATAGCGAAACACGTGTTGCGTTTTTTGTAGAACCCTTTTATAGTTAAAATCATACAATGAACTGTAATAATTACTTTTGATATGAATTTCCATCGGCCAGTTCTAGTCAAATATATAAAAATGGATGTTTGTTGGTTGGTTGGTCGGTTGGTTGGTTGGTAAGTTGACATGTATAAGAGAAAGTTTAGAGAAAGTTTAAGGTTATCAATTTTTCTGTAACTCGCCACTAGATGGCGCTGTAGAACAATTTTTTGAAAGCACTGTTCTATAACGCTGCGCACGCCTAAGTTCGTTGATTCTGATTCTGTCAAAACATTGGAACAGCAGCGATACAGCAACATAGTACTAGTCAATATATAGACAAACTTTTTCCTTCGACAGCTACCTACATTTTTATTGTTATTTCTAATATAGGGTAGCCCTGACATTAAACGTGAACCTGATAACTGAAACATTTGAAGCATTTGAAGACAACAGAAAGTTGAGAAGTTCTCTCACAGATATTAGTGAATATTTGCTCATAATTTTGATCGTGATCGTGAATTATTGACTCAATGTTGTTTGTCATCATGAATCTAACTTACCCAATATTCCTAATCTATAATTCAGGGTGACTACTACCAAGTCAGCATAGGAAGCTAAAACGCTTCCATCGTAGGGATTTCCCGAATTCCATTCAAAGGATTCCCCGTGAATATAGACTATCACAGGATGCCGTGTTTCCGTGGAAACTGAAACAAATAAACAGTGTCATTGATGGGGTGAAATTTCATGCCCAATCAAAATTATTTCAATTCGGGTGATTATCTACATGTGAAAGATAAATATGCAACTCAATAGAAAAATGTTGCTATCGTGTCGTGAAAAATATATCATACACAATTAATATGACAATTTTTTCACTGAAAATTCATTTTTCAAAAAAAGATAATGATTGTCATGACTTTTATGAACAGAACCAGAAATTGGAGAATGAAGTTATTGTTCTTCAATAACTTTACTTTATCATTCACTGGCACTGTTTTCTATATAAAAATGCTCGGAAATTTTGGATAATTTTTTGTTTATTTTTATCGACTAATCTTAGGAAGATGGTTTTTTATCTTGAATGTTTCATTTTATTTGAGGTAATGTTCAAAATTTGCTCTTCGAAGAAAAAATTAATGGAAAATATTTATACAGATTTCGACTAAAAAAAGAATAACATGAAAAATACAATGAGTTTGCTTTGATATCACTGTTAATATTGATCAAACTTTCCAATATCATTTCCTGTAAGTAGAACTGACAATAGATTCGAATCCTTGGATCTATAAATGAAAATTATTTCGATTTCAATGTCATTCGCAACTAGTTTTTTTTTTCCAAAGTAACTGTCGTAAATGCTATAAACATTTTCAAAAAAACATGAATGAGATATTACAATCCAACATAAACACTGCTGTCACGGAACGGAACTGAGACGAGAGTATTAGTTGTCAGGAGTGTAAGCAGTATTTAAATTACATCAATTTCACTCCGGAGATTCTATACTCGTAGAACATTTCAATGCAGTGATGAAGTCAGAAGAGATTTTAGAGCAATGAGATGGCAGATACTTGAATCATATAACCAATACATGTTTTCAGATCACATTTTACTAACGCTGAAATGATTGACATGCTCTTTATTTATGGATTAGCAAATGGAAATGCGAGTCAGGGAAAATTTACTAGGAAAGATGTCTTAGCAGAGTATTTCCATGTGTTAAAACATTTAGAATGCTACACGCAAGATTATGTAAACCTGGGAGTTTCATTAAAAATGAAGGTGGTGAAAGACCAGAAACTGTAACAACGCTTGAACTGGAAGAAGCCATACTTGATGCGAACGAAGAAGATCCTTTCAAATAGTACCAGGGAGATTGCACTGCAGCTGGAAGTCATTCGTATGGATGATTCTCAAAAGAAACCTCCTATACCCATATCACGTACAGCGGGTCCAAGCTTTACTGCTGCCTCAGATTTTCACTCACAAAATTTTCACGGGATACTATTATGAAGTTTCACAATGACCAAGGAAAATCTCCATGTCATTAGACAAAGTCATTTTCACCAATAATTTTCGCAGAATGTTCAGGTAGGAATGATTGGTGACTACCTAATTGGCCAATTTTCCTACCAGCAAGATTAACAGATGAATCTTACAAAGACTGTTTGCGAGATCATTTACCGATTTTGTGAGAAGAAATGCCGGTACTTGTATGAGGCAACATGTGGTTTATGCACGACTGGGCTTTAGCTCCTTTCAGTGTTCTTGCTCGTCAGCATCTCGACATTACCTACTCCAATCGCTGGATTGGACGTGCAGGGCCAAAAAATTGGCCAGCCCGCAGTCCTGATATTGATCCTCTAGATTTCTATTCATGAGGTCATCTGAACCATTTTGTTCATGAATCTGCTGTACTGTATGTGAATGATTCGAGGAATGCCACGTTCAAAAGTACATGTATTTTTGCCTTCTCACAGAGTTGTAATCAGTCGTTTGCGTGTTTGTGTGGCGTGCGTTATAGTATATTGTTTAAAATTGTTTTCCAAGATGTCCAGTAGAGACACTGCTGATGACACTGTGAGCTATCCTCTGTCCAGCCAGGAAACGATCCAACAAAAGACATTCGAGTGTCGAGATGAAAGAAGTGATTTTGAATGTGTTCAAGAAAGAGATGGAAGAAATTGAGACATCGACTATCGACGAAGTCGCATCGAAAGTTTCCGATAAAATTGGAGTGTGATGCGCTTCGATCTACAAAGTTTTACAAGAATATAAACAAAATCATACATTTTCCAAACCAAATACAAATCAGAATCGTCAAACCATTATAAAATCAATAGATGATGCTGATAAACATGTAATCAGGAGGAAAGTGCATGAGTACTTTTTCAGAAATGAAATACCCACGATAGACAAAGTACTCACAGAAATAAATGAAAATGTTTCATTGCCAAGTTTTAAGCGGTCAACATTCCATAAAGTATTGAAACATTTGAATTTTGTATGGAAAAAACGAGGGCGCAATAGTTTATTTTTGGATAGAGAGGAAATTGTGTTATGGAGGAGAGAGTATTTAACCAAAATCGAATATTATAGGGAACAACAGAGAACAATTTATTATACGGATGAAACCTGGGTTAATGCTGGTCATTCTACCCCTGAAGTATGGGTCGATGAAACTGTGACCTCATCTAGGAGGGTTTTTCTACATGGACTATCAACCGGATTGACAAATCGATCAGGTAAACTTATATTTATATTAAGACCTGCCTCAATCCCAATATATAAAAAATAACCTTCGTATCTGTTTTATTCACTTACATACCTCTTTATAATTTCAGAAAAAGGAGACCGGCTTATTATTTGTCACATCGGCAATGACAATGGGTTTGTTGCTGAAGGGCTGTGGTGTTTCGAGTCGAAGAAAACTGGAGATTATCACGAAGAAATGAACGGTGAATCTTTCAAACAGTGGTTTTCCAAAGTTATACCCCATCTGGAGGATAATTCTGTGATTGTAATGGACAATGCACCTCATCATACGCGACGATTGAACAAGATTCTGACAACTTCTTCAAAGAAGGTTGAAATCCAAAATTGGATGCGATCAAAGAATAGTAGCTTTGAAGACTCAATGCTAAGAGTACAGCTACTAAAAATTGTCAAGAAGCGCAAGCTTGAATACCAAAAATATATAGTCGATGAGATGGCAGCAGGTCAAAACAAAATTGTCCTTCGCCTGCCTCCATACCATTGCGACCTCAATCCCATCGAGTTAATATGGGCGGATGTGAATAATTTTGTAGCTCAGCATAACACCACGTTCAAATTTGCAGATCTCAAAGTACTTTTTGATGAGGCTTTGAAAAGAGTCACAGCGGAGAAATGGGAGAAGTGTGTACGGCATGTGATATCGGAAGTCGAGACAAAGATATGGAAGCTTGATAACATAATAGAGGCACTGATAATTCAGATTGGTGAGGATGACACTACTGATGAAGAGACAAATTCATCCACTTGAATAATTTTGATTAATATTCCCTTTGATTTTACATAAAATAAAAATTATCAATAGAAAAAATTACTTTTCTTTTCATATAATGCTTGAGTGCGCAATGTGTATTTCACTCGTTATTATAAAAAAGTTTTCCTAACTATGATATAGTATTTGCGATCAACAATATTCTGGTTCTGAATACGACCCTGGCCAATTCTTGAGATTTTCAATATCACGTGCGTAGGGCATGTCAATGTTTACATCCACTCTATCTTAGATTTGAATTTGCTTTAGATAGTTAGATTAGTTCAAGTTATCACTTCTGTCGTGTGTCCTAAATGCACACATTTTTTATCTCACGATATCCTTCGCATCAAAGTCATATAACCCAAATAACCCTGTATCAATATAAAAAAATACGAGATTCACATACAACATCCCGTGAAAACGTACATCGGTATTTGGAAAAGAATCCGAAAATCACTGAATGTACAGAGTGCTCTGTTCGAAAAGAAAAATTTGTTGTCAATTTCTGCTATGAATAGAATTCAAAATAAATTGACGATATCTGAAACGAACTTACTGATTACTCTCCGTCTCAAAATCTCTGATAATCCAACGATAATGTAGAACAATCTGCTTTGGAATTACACTTGCACCCTACATACAACAACATATATTGTCCATAAATTTATCCCACCATTCTATAGACCGCGCGATGAAAAAACAAAGCCAGCCAGATATGCAGGAGTCTAGTCGTAATACAGTTCCGGAATATATATCGGAGTTATTTTTCCCGACTCCGTTTGCTCGCAATCAGGTCGTGACGTATATCAAATAGCCGTCGACGCGCAGTAAAGAACGGTACTATGTATGCAAATGAACGAACGTAAACTTTTTCTATATAACCCTACAGCACCTACAATAAATTGTACAGTTTACTGCAAGGTGTCGTTACCATATGTCCGGGCTATACCCCTGTCTTGTCCGAACACCGTTTTTGTACACATTAACTACACAGACGAGTAGAAACGTGTTCATGAATTGCTCGTAAATTCCTGCTAGGCTCTTTGCGATGATAATGGAATTTGAGTCGTTTTCAAGAAGGCAAACGCCATTTGACGACGTTATTCCAGCCGGGGTTAATGTACTTTTTATAAAACATTCTGGTGAATACAGTTCATGAAACAAATTCATATGAATACTTATTTGAAGACGGATAATGAAAAAAAAAATATTGATTGTAGGTTACATGTGAGTGTTTCAACTTGCTTCAGAAAGACTGAGAGACAATATGAATTGAAGTAATAAAGAATATTGAGAATATTTTGTTTGTTAAACGGTTTTATTGAGAAAAAAGATAATAAAGACTAGATATGCAGTCATCACACCACTCTCCTCAGCAAACTACGGTATTGATCAGATAGAAAAATAATAAAATACGTAAATATGTAAATCGTTGGGCAAAGCGTAGCCAGAGAAAATATGTAAACACTACGCTCAACGATTCCATTAGTTTTTTATCTGATTTGTACCGTAGGCTGTTGAGGAGAGTGGTGTGATAACTGCTACCTAGGACCTCACGAATTATTTTATAGTATCTTGTCTATATAATTATCACCTTTTTTTTTCAATAAAATCGTTTGACATTTTTTTCACATATTTTATTTTCTAGTTTTTAGTTTCTAATTGTGTTACTCAATT